CTTATATTGAGAAAATTAATCTCAAAGGGATTAGGCCAATTTTGTCTTATTTGTGCTCCTTGATATACTTTAATGGCATGATTTAAAGAGTGATATTCAGTGTCTTTGTTATGGCTAAGTTTTTCTGAAGGAGATATAAGATCTGAAGAATCTGAACCCTGTTTATTAATAATCTCAATAAATGGCTAGAAGATAGTTTGATATTTTTTCGCAATAATCTCCCATACCTTATTTCTTTCTTTGACTGTATACTTTTCACCATAATGTAAATCGAATTGATCCTTCATTTTTATAAACAGGCTATTAAGAAATGTACGAACTTCAATGAGAATCTCTTTAGGACAATGAGGTATTAATTCGGATATCATATGTTTAAGAGATTCAAGAAATACTTCCTGCTCCAGAGTAACAATCGATTTTTTCTTAATAGAAGACTTCTTCTTTACAGGAATCTGACTTTTTTTTTTACGTTAAAACAATTTTGTGATTCAGTGTCTGTGATGCTTTCCTCATCCTCCTCGTCATTTTCCTCGTCTTCGTCTTCTAACACTTCAATAGGCTCATCCTCTTGATCGGAATTTTCTGGCTCGGATTGATAAGTATAATTAACCTTCTTCGGTTTCTTACCGAGTTTAGGACACTTATTTTTTCTATACCCAATTTTTTTCCACAATTTGAGCATTTGTAAGTAACTTTAGTAGGCTTCTGCGGTTTCTTTGTAGTATATACTTTTTTAGCACCTGAAGTACTAGCTCTGGTAATCACTCTGGTATTAACCTCTCTAACTTGACCAAAAGGCTCTCTTCTTAGATGATAATTTGCATGTCCTAATCTTGAGTATAACTCATCTTCGATAAAATTTTCTAAAGCATCGGGATTTCGAGATGCACTGTCTGAATATCCTAATCTCATAGCAATACTTTCTAAATATTCTGTTGACTTTTTTTCATTTTCCTGAGATTGCTGTTGGGGTTGAGATTGAGGTTGGGGGTGTTGGTAATATTGAATTTGAGGGGGTGGGGTGGGTATAGTCATATGTGTCTGCGAAGCAATATTAGGTGATTGAATATTACTCCTACTCCCATTTGATTCTAACCAACAATTTCTAAGATTTGTAAAGAAAGCGTCTTTGGTTGCAGGGGCTGTCATTCTAACTCGGAGTTCTAAATTTTCTGGTAAATGGTTATAGAGTATAGGTAAACAATCGACATCTGCAATAGAATGTGTAAATGTACGAATTCTTTGCTTATAGCTATCTGGTGTATCAAGTGGAGAAAATTTTTCATTTATAAGCGCTTTCATAGATGCTTGACTAGTTCCTATCATTACTTCTCGATATTTATCCTCTAACCAACCAAGAAAAAGTGCGGGTGTATTTACTTGATTACCTGCTCTATTTTGAAATGGATCAGGTGGTATGAATCTTTCAGCTAATCTAGATGATAACATTTGTGTTTTTACTGCATCATTAAACCCTGCAACAGCTAATGTATTACCATATTGAAATATTTGCATAAATTTGTTATAATATTCTATTGGAGGTTCCTGTCCAATATACATTGGAATTTGAGCAATCATTGGGGCTAATGATGATGTAACATCTGTTAAAGCAGCCATATTGTGTGGATTTACTAATGGATTATTTTGTAAAGCAAAAATTTGTTGACGTAAATTAATAATTGTTTGCCGAGCGTCATGGGTTTTATTTTTCCATTTTTCATACCTCACTATAAGTTGATCTCGCCAATACTCTAATATTGTTCCATGATTATGACATTGTTGCAACTGCCGTTCCAATTGCTGGGTTGCTCGTCTATTCAAGAGCTGTGTTGCAAACTGTTCATGCAATAATGTACTGATGCGCTTGTCTTTTCGAGTTTTGATAAAGATAGCATTTAACTTCCAAAAATTACGAGATCTTTCTATATCCCTTACACGATTCTGCAAAGTAATACCATCTTGGGTTAGTTGATTGATATGATTTTGTTGGAGTGTATCGAGCTGTCTATATCTATTAATGTCCTGTTGTAGCCAAGTTATCTGATTATCTCGATCATCCCGTTGGGCGATGACATCATCTATATCCTGGTACGCAGATTGATAATTATGTCTAACAGCATTCAAAGAACCTCTAATGCCATTTATAATATTGATAGGATTGTTTAATGGTGTCCCAACGTTTCTAAGATGATTTTCAATACGATTTAAGCCTCGATCAATTTGTATAATAGGGTCGAGATTTGCCATATTAATGTCTTGCTCTTCTAAAGATTGAGTATATGGATCCGGTGAGCTTCTTCTCGAAGAAATAATTTTGATCTTTTCATCAAGTGCATCGAGATTTTCCTGAAAAATTAGTAACAGCTTTTCCAGATGATCTATATATTTCTCTTGACTTATAGAGGTCTGGATTGCCTTTTCTAACCGATTTTTAATATCAGATATTTGTTGATGCAATGGATCTAGTTCATCATCACGAATCAATATCTCCTTCTCAAGATATTTGATGTAATCTTCTTTTAAAACTAAATCTTGTTGCAACTTCCAAAACTGATTTTTTATTGCTAATAAACTATTTTTGAATTGCTTAATTCTTGATGACATCGTTAGGATTTTCTATACTATAAATAAAATGAGTAATCCTAGTATTGTTATAGATCCTTTAAAATCTCGTAAATTTGATATATCTATCGATTTACAAAAAATCTATTATCATCCTTCTGGCTATCAAAGGACTAGTAAAAAACTTTATGATGTTTCACATAATGCCGAGTTCGATTTTACATTGGTCAAAGTTCAAGAATGGCTTGAGAGACAATTATTACACTTAATTCATAAACCTCGACCAAAGTATATTCCTTGTGCTAGTTTTAATAAAATTACTGTCCCAATGAAAGTTATACAAGCTGATTTATGTTATATGCCTCACGATAAAGTAGGAAATAAGATTTATAAATATGCTTTAACATGTGTTGATATAGCAAGTCGAACTAAGTGAGTTTGTCCTTTAACCGAACGGGATTCTGATAGTGTTGCTAAAGGATTTATAAAACTTTTTAAATTTCACAACTTTCCTCTTAAACAACTAGAGATACTGCAAACCGATTTTGGACCAGAATTTTATGGAAAATGTGAAGAGTTAATGATTAAGTATAATGTAGAAATTAATCGAAGCAAATCGAAAAAAAGACAAGGTATAGTTGAGAGATTTAATCAAACTTTACAGAAGTGGGCATTTTATATTCAAGATGCTGTAGAGTTATTGTTACCCCCAACGGAGCGTTGTAGAGCATGGGTTAGAAATCTTCCTATATTTCTTGAAAAGCTTGATAATACAAAAAACACGATTAATTGATATGTCTCCTGTCAAAGCTCGAAAATTAAAACATGTATATGCCAAGTCATCTAAACCGAGATATGGCCCTATGGGATATGATGAAGTTCGTTTGACTTATAGTGATTCTGTTTTATATTTACTTAATCCTGGTGAATTGGAAGGTGGAAGAAGACGTGTTACTGATTGTAATTGGTCTCCTCAAATTTATCATATTAAAGAATCTATGGTACAAAAAAATCAACCAGTTTTATATTGGATCGAAGATATTGATGGCAATGGCCCGAATCGATCTTTTGTCCGAGAAGAATTATTATTAGTGGATAACAATATAGAATATCCTCCATTAAGAATACTCAAGAATTAACCCAAGAATCGAGTTCCTCTTCTATTTCTTCTTCTGTAGCAAATGTATCTTTAACAATTGTATAACATAATATATAATATGATTTAATTGCTTTTTGAATTCTTGGGTCTTTCTTATAATAACCTTCGTGATCTTCCATAATTTGATTGTATGCTTCTTCATTGGGGAAATTTTCTATCGCTTTTTCGTATATATATATTTCAGGATCTTCAGACCCACGCAATTCATCTAATTGTTTTTTATACCGACTCATAAAACCTTTATTCTTTGGTTTTTTACAGAAAATACCTGCTCTTAGAATAACAAGTATTGCTTTTTCGATATCTTGCCATGTTGGGATAGAGGATTTGACCTCTGTAGATTGTTGATCGATATTTTGGGTAGTAGTTGACATTTGAATATGTATTATGTTTTGATTATCTAAAGTTTTGTATGTAATACTTTATAAAATCTTTTCTTTAAATAAATATTTCGGTATAATAAAATGATGATCGGTGAATATACTTGTCCATTCTATCACAATTCTGGTGAAGTTTGTGGTAGAACCTGTATGAGAGTTGAGGGATGTAGTTATCATTGGAAAGCTAAAAAAAGAGTTCCTTGTATTGAATGTGGTAAGCCGACTGGTTCAACTTCTGGACGATGTCCTTTGCATATTAGGGGGTACTATGTGACCCAATACTATAATAGATTACGTGTTAAGACTTCAAAATTAGATTCTTGATATGTGAAAAACCTGACACAAATTTTAGTAGACCTAGCATATATTCGAAATTTTTTATTAGACTTTTTCATTAGACTTTCGACATATGTATAAATTTTTATTAGACTTAGTATATATATATCAAAATTTTTATTAGATTTAGCATATATATGGTTGGTGTGTGGTGTAAAAAATAAAATGTACGTCATTTTTGATTAGGTTTTGTGGGCCAGAAAAGTAGTGAAGAATCGTCTTTAGATTGAATTCTGTTATATCAATTAATATTGGTATGTAATTTAGGCTTGATTCACGTCCGAGAAGGGATCAGGATATGAATTTAATGAATATCCTTCACCGCTTCTCTTGGACTTTTTAATGGCAAGCTGTATATCATAAATAATTGATATTCTTTTTGATATGAAATTGGATAATTGAATGTGTTCTAGATATATAAAAATTAATATACTTTGATATGAAAATGTGGCTAAAAAAATAAATCACGCCACATACTTGGGGCGAAAAAATTAAATCATGCCACATATTTGAGGTGGTATAGTTGTTGACTTTCCTGTGTGGCGAAAAAAGCAAAATGATGTACAAAAAATGATATGCTTGATGGTATTTTTGGGACATGAAATATAGTAAGTTAACTAGTGCTGGGCCAGAACACCCATTTTTACCCTACTAATGCCAGGATACTGATAACCTGAACTGAATTATAATTTGACTTGGTCAGATTACTATTATATTGTTTCAATAGGTTTTTAATAATTTGATTATTAAATTTTGTACATTCGAAATAAGGAGTCAACATTGTTATATTTTTTTCCTGGTTTATGTAAAATAGTATAGTTATAGGGTTCTAATCTAAGGATTTAGCGAGCACGCTTTCCTCTTAATTCTGTGGTTCTTAACCATTGTAAAGTAGAATAGTTAGTGACAATATAAAAGTATGCAGTTCCAAAATATTGATGAAAGTGTTCAACAGTCCATACTATGGCTAGACACTTCAATTTATTTATGGAATAATTTTGTTCAGCTTTATTTAAGCTTCTGCTTGCATAGGTAATGGCATATTCATTTTTATCTTCTTTTTGTGTGAGTACTGCACTTAATCTTGATCTGAATATATTAGTGTGCAAGTAAAAAGGTTGGTTAAAATCAGGATGTTTTAAGATTGATGCGAAAATTAATTTTTTTTTTAGAGTTTTAAAGGACTTTTGTTGTGCTTCAGTTCATTTGAATTTGATATCTTTTTGTAATAATTTGTTAAGTGGTGTTAGCTTGTTTCTTTCTCTTATTTTTATTTTTATTTCATTATTCTTTATATGTATTATCATATTATATATATTTTTATCTGTTATTTATTATTATTTGTTATAGTTTT